AGAATAGTAACATATCCACAATATTGATATTGAGTAGCTGCTCGTCGACGTCAGTGATTATGCAACTGTGCAGCCTCGATCGAGGCATCACCGAGATCGATTCGCCTTTCTTCGAAATGACCACTGCGTTTTCTTTGGCACACCCTGGATATCTACAAGCAGTGCGGCACTGAAACTAAGCTTGAAGCCTGGACTTGAAGAGAATTCTGTGATCTTAGACATATTGAATACTATACAAGCTCCTGGCGATATCAAGAATAGGCTGCCAGTGGTGGCGATGAATTCCGCCCGTCAGATCGAGGCTCCGACGTCTCATCAGCTCCATATGTAGGTACGATATGAGAATAATTTAAATGAAGACCCATAGAGTGCCATAGGCGATGATTTCACTCGCCACGCTGTGCGGTGGACCTGATATGACCGTGGAGTTCTTGCATAGCTACGGAGGTTGAAGCAATTCCCGTCTTTGCAGAGGATCTTCAGGGAGTTCTCGTCGAAACCCTGTACAGGAAATGCCAATACGGATGCGAAGAGAGAAGAAAAAGCTGGGCAACCGCGCATGTCTGTCTCGGGGAGCGTCCTGAAGCGTCGATCGTCATGTCAAGCGTGGGAATATCGGGGCCTCATAACTCAATGCGAGGCTCAAGCATATAAAGCAGTTCCACTTCTTGTCTTCATACCTCTGACCAGCTTTGTCCCCCCATCCCTGGATGTGAGTTCCCTCCCCTCCCCGTATCTTCCGTATTACTCACTATATTTCTTGCAGGGCAAACTTGCAAAATAGCACAGAAGGCATCCAGGCGCAGGCGACTTCCGCCTCGACTTCATCATTCGTTACTGCTCTCGTATTCAATCTTGCAGTATTTGGCGCAGAGTTACTAGCTTTCTCTCTGCTTCGCAAATACTTCAAAACCATCTATGAACCACGCACATTTTTAACTCCAGAAGGGTGAGTCGCCTTTTACATTCAGTGGTCGCTACTAGTTATCTGGGGACATTTGCGTGAGGGACTACGGAGCTTCGTTATGGGCTTTGATCCTCATGACCTCATTCCCTCGTCGGTGTAGTTGTGCCTGATGAAGCCACTGCCTTTTGTCCTGTGATGGGGTGGAAATCCAATGGAAATCCTTCCACTGATCTATTTTGGGATGTCAATCTGCGACCCTTGCTGATGCTTTTTTTTTGTTCGTAGGAAACGCGTAAAGCCATTATCGCAGACAATATGGGACTGGCCAAGAGACGTGTTTTTAGCAGATTCCGACTTAATTAGACAGCAGAATGGTCTCGATGCGTACATGTTTGTTCGTTTTTTAAGAAGTACGTATCTGGTTCGTATGACTGTGCATCCTTGCTTATCATCATCCAGTGATGGTTAAAATTTTGTTGCCTATCTGGTTTTTCAGCTGGGCTGTCCTCATGCCAGTTACCAGCGTCCGCACTTCGGTGCCCGGGAATGACGGGCTCAATATATTCACCTTCGGAAATATAGCACCGAAAGATTCGGCGCGTTATTCCGCACATCTCATCCTAGCCTGGTTATTCACTTGTACGTACGATATCCGTGTTTTTATTGTTCATCCATCACTCATCCCTATTCTTCAGTCTGGATATTATACGTTGTCCGGATTGAACTCCGTCGATATATTACACTCCGTCAACGCCATCTCATCGACCCTAACCACGCGTCCACTGCACAGGCCAACACTGTTCTTGTCACCGGTGTTCCCCAAAAGTACCTCTCCGAACAGGCGCTCACTAAATTGTTCCAACATTGTCCAGGCGGCGTTCGGAAGGTCTGGCTTAACCGTGATCTGAAGGACCTCCCGGGTGTCTATGATCGCCGCCTCTCCGCTTGCAACAAGCTTGAATCGGCCGAAAACGCGCTCCTGAAGACCGCATTGAAGATTCACAAGAAAAATCCGGGCATTGTCGAAAAACAGTCGCCAGATGTTGAGTCTGGTAGTATCGGAGAAGCCGACAGGATTGTGCCAAAGAACAAGCGGCCATCGCATCGCCTCCCCGCTGGATCAATGCCATTTTCTCTTCCCTTGATTGGACAGAAGGTCGACACAATCGAATGGTGCAAAAAGCAGATTTTGGAATGTAATCAGATCCTCGCGGCGGAACGCAAGATCCTGTATTCAGAGATTAGGGCTTCGAAGAAGAAAAAGGAACGGTTACATCTTCCTGCCAAGTTGCAGGCTCTTCCCGGTCAAATTCAGTCGCACCTACCCCATTCCAGGTCAAGAGGCTTTGAAGAGGACCCTGAGGCCGTCAATCATAATGGCATCGATGATGCTAGTCTTGAAGAGCATAATGACGAGCTTGGACCTCCGGAAGAAGAGGCGTCTGCCAAGTACCCTCCTCTTAACTCTGCTTTCATCTTGTTCAAGTCTCAGATCGGAGCACACGTCGCCGCTCAGATTCTTACCCATGACCAACCCTTCCGGATGGTTGACAAGTATATCGAACTTTCGCCCGATGAGGTCGTTTGGGGCAATTTGGGACTGAATCCCTATGAGAAGCTCATCAGGAAGTTAATTAGTTTCGGGCTTACCTCAGGTTTGATTATTGCTTGGGCTATTCCCGGTAAGTTTATTCGAAGTTCCTTTTCACGAAATAGTCTTGACCTCCTCGTCTAGTTGCCTTCGTTGGTATCATCTCCAACATTCACAGCTTATGCACGACGTACTCTTGGCTCGCATGGCTCTGCAAGATTCCCTCGGTTATCGTTGGCATTATTCAGGGTATTCTGCCCTCCGTTTTGCTCGCTGTGCTCTTTATTCTCTTGCCAATTGTGTTGAGATTGTTGGCTCGATTTGAGGGTATTCCGACCAGAACAGGCATCGAGTTGAGCTTGATGACTCGGTTCTTCGCGTTCCAGGTTGTGGTAAGTAACATTGCTTTCTTTATATGAAGATATCGAGACTAGGAATATACATCTTTCCTTAGCATGGTTTCTTGGTTGTGTCGCTCAGTTCCGGTATCATTGCGGCGTTGCCCGACCTCGTCAAGAATGCATCCTCGATCCCAGCTACGCTTGCCCAACGTCTACCCAACGCCAGCACGTTCTTCTTGACTTACATCAGTATGTTTTCCCTTGTTAATCTTATATTAATCGATTTCTCATATGCTTTGTTCTACAGTCTTGCAAGGTTTAACCGGAACGGCCGGTGGATTCCTCACTATTGTACCTCTTGTCATCTACTACGTCAAGCTCATCATCCTGGGTTCCACGCCAAGGTCTATTTACAATATTAAGTACACGTTGCGCGATGTTGCTTGGGGTACATTATTCCCTAGTATTACCTTGCTTGTCGTTATCAGTAAGCGAACTTCCTTGTCCTACGCACGACGTGAAAGTGACCTCTTCCTCTCATCTTAGCCTTTGCTTACGCCATTATTTCGCCTATCATCAACGGGCTCGCTTGCTTCACATTCTTCCTCTTCTACATGCTCTACAAATACCTCTTCCTCTGGCAACTTGGCTTCTCGGAGTCTGGTGACAGCGGTGGATTGTTCTTCCCAAAGGCTATTCAGCACACGTTTGTTGGATTGTACATCCAACAGATCGTCCTTGCTGCATTGTTCTTCCTTGCTCAGGATGAAAACAAGAAAGCAAGTGCCATCCCCGAAGGTATTTTGATGATCGTTTTGATCCTCATTACTGTGAGTATTCATTAGATTACATGCACATGAACGTTATATATTAATATTCCCTTAGGCGTTGGCCAATAGCGTCCTTAACAACAACTATTCCGGTCAACTCTTGACCTCCCTCCCTCTCACCCTCGCCGACCGCGCACACGCCGCCGCAGAATCCCACGAGCGCCGCTTAATCGACGAGCGCAACGATGCCGCGCATCACGACGAACATGAGGAAACTCCTCTTGCTGGCAACCAAGCCCCTGGTCCTTCTTCGTCTCCCGATGCTGAGGAAGATCCCAAGCCATTGCCCGTGCCTCCGCGTCCTCTAGGCCCCACCGACTTCGAACATCCTTCCGTTAGGACCCCACAACGTCCTATTTGGATTCCTGCAGACCCACTTGGTGTAGGCCACTCTGAAGCTGGATCATTGAGAGCGGATGGTATCGATGCGTCGACCGTGCATGCGATGATGAATGAGAAGGGCAAGGTTGAGGTTGATGGGAGGCCACCAGAAGACGAGAATTAAGCGGTAATAGGTTACTGTGACGGCGCATATTTTTTCTCTGGTCCTTTTTTGCTCTTTTAATTTTTCTTTCCGTGTGTCTTCTGCGATGGTCTCCCATATACCCGCGAACTATTGCTTTCGGACTGTACGATGTACCTGTTTGTTTCTCTTCAACCGTTATCCTTCCCTCCCCTTATTTCTCCTATGTGTTGTTATCTTCTTTCATTGTTATGAGTGGTTACGAATATGTTACGGCCTACTTATTTTACTTGTCATCAGTATTAACCAATTATACCACCTTGTTCGGTACAGTATTGTCTGTCTATTTGGAAGAACGAGGGTAAGATGTTTAAAGTCAAGTATTGCGATGAGCTCTGGCGGATTTCGAAACCTTCGCTCTGAATGATATTATAAGCTTCTGAGATCTCTGTGGGAGCTGTATCACGCACTATTACTGCCGACCTGCCCCATGGCTTAGTTGGCTATAGCGTCCGACTGTTAATCGGAAGGTCGAGAGTTCGAGCCTCTCTGGGGCAGTTAATTTTTGTTCATTCTAAACATTTTATCCGGAAGTTATGTCGAAGTTGTGTTTCATGTATCTTTTACATATTTTGAACTGCGCAAGTTACTCGAGTGAAGTTGGACGAATTTATGCAAACCGTGAAGCTATCCTATGGACTAAGATCTAGAATTGTAGCCTGAGATGGATGCGAGTCTGTCAATCGCATTTCCAAGGTGTTTTTATTTTCGATATGATTGACTTTATGAATACGTTATGGTGAATGTAATTCCCTTAATAGTCCAATTCCGCTCGGTTTCAGGTAAACCAGTGGTGCCTGGAAGGTAAAACCTGATAGTTTAGAGGTTATGATTCCTGCTTTAGGTTTTCCCGACAACCCTAATTGCAGGAGGTCCTGGGTTCAACTTTCAGTCAGGCCCTTACACCATTTCTTTCGTATATTTTTCTGTGTTAACCAGTTCTACTAACATCAATTGATTCATGAGGTCCCTGCATCTCCCAAATACGGGGAACAGGCTCTGCAGCGTAAAATATAAATGATCACAGCACGGTTTAGTATATCTGTGAAATTTCTTTACTGTTTCATAATAATAGTGAGGAATTTTAAAGATCATTTATAGGACACCGTGCTTGAGCATTTGTTCTGCTCCAGTGTTCTAAATTTGAACAAATATTGCATTTCAGAGCGCCAGCCTATTCTGCAGCCAATGACTCGGTACATCACCGTTAGCCGACTTTTAATGGCCGATTGGGCTGTTTGCTTTTAAAAAGCATTTCTTATGTTAATTCTGTTAAATACTACTTGGAGAGGTTTTGATAAGCTTGAATTTTTTCATTGTACATTTCCCTTGCTTGAATTTTTTTTTTGGGGCCATTAAACCATTTTGTTGGGGGCGTTTTTTTGGGGGGTTTTCTTCTTCAAACCCCCCAGGCCCCTTCAGGTTTTGATTTGACGGCTTGGCCCTCACGTTAATCTTTAAAGTTTCGGGAATTTCAGGTTTTCCTTTCCGTTTCTACCTTCTTCTTGGGTTGCCGGTTTACCATTTTTGGGGCCTTTTTTTCAATTTTTCAAACCGGTTTGGCGGGAATTAGTTTTTTTTTCGTTTTTTTTGCAGGGTTCAGGGATTTGGAATTTTTCTTGCTTTCGGTTCTTGGGGGTTAAAGGGTTTTCCCGAATTAGCCTTTTTGGTTGGGTTTTTTTTTTTTTAACCTTTTTTATTTTTTAATTACTTTTAATTTTTTTCACTTTTACCCTTGGTTCCCTTATTTGTTCTTTTTATTAGTTTTTTGTTTTCCCCATTTTCCTTTTCTTACCATTTTCCTGCCGGCGGAACGGTTCTTCCGTGGTGATTTTTTCTGGTAGTTGGTGGGAGGTGATAGTCTCTTGTTGTTGGGCTATTATCTGCTGTTACTATCGTTTGTTATATTGTTGTCTTAGGGACCATTGCAGTTCTTACCTTTTGGGTTTTTATTCCCTTGGCGTATCCAGTGTTATCACCCAGGCTGAGCAGTGAAGGCTTTGGCGTTCAAAAGGGAGCGATTTGTCCATTTATTCCAGATTGGCGTAAAAGAGCGACTTGTTTTCTAGAACCCTGATAGATTTATACTGCTAGCCCTTAGTAAACGAAATTTGCCATAATATATCGAATGAAACCTACTGATTCATAACTTCTCCGTTTTCTAGGATCTCATGCACCAAAACTGCCGGTCTTGATTAACGCAGACAGTGAATGAATGGAACGTTGGGGTGCAGCGTAAACAAAGTTTGCTTGCTGCAAAATGAGTAGCAGGAATAAGCAATCGGTATGAGATTCAAGGATCTTGAGTACTTACCATACAGGAACTTGTATGAATGCTGAACATAACGAAGAACGAGAAAATGCAAAGGATGTCGAACATTGGAGTTGGGGAGACCACTAAAGGACTGTCTTTCGCTGATACTGATAACCTAAGTCCAAGCTGAGTACTCTTACTTATATAGGGAGCATGTCGCCTAGAAAAGAATCAGGGAATTAGCTACATCCCTGTACCGAGTCTCCGACTACTGAGGCAGCAGTTGGCAGCAGTGTGACGGAAGACTTCGGGTGCGACTGTCAGATTGTCCGAACATTGGTGATTGGTGTAGAACGCTCCAGGCCGATATACCTACAGCGGCATCATTAGCGCGCGTCTTTCATTGTTCTTCTGTTAAGCGGTATCACACCTGGCTGAAGCGGGTGAAAGATCAAATAAGCTGTAATTTAATTATTGTGAGTCTAGACTCACAATCCCGAGAACACGCCAAAAGACAAACTCCTTGTATATTTCGGTATTTATTGTTAGAGAGGATATCAAGTCAAACCCAGGACATCTCGTTGGAGTCGGGAGTCTAATGATAGCCAGTGACAAGGCGGTGCATATTTATAACAGACCTCCCGAGAGCCTGAGGCTACGTGTGATAATTTTGTAGTGACACTGACCCCACTGTGGCGCTTGATGTTAGACTTCGAACAGACGCTGGGAAAAGGCAGCAAAACAATCACGTACTATTGTTTCTACGTGGTAAGTACTAAGAAGCCATTTCGTTCATGTTGTATATTGGAATGAACCGTGACGAGCCCTCATGGAAAGAAAAATCCAAGGTAAATAGGGAATAATTCGTCTATAGTTATTTAAGCATTATAGACTTTGGTAGAAGTAGAAAAACTCATCTACCTATACGGCTGACTCTAGGGCCTGGCCCTGAGATGTGTATAAAGTGTGCGCTTACTCGACGACGTCTTTACGGGGCCTCGGACCGACTACCTGCTGCCGACGCCACATCAACCTGCCACTAAACAACTAAACTTCCTAAGTATCGAGCCTAGGATCTACACGCTTATTTCCGCTTCCATCCGGAAACATAAAAACAGAGAAAAGCGTACGCCAGACAGTTCCACCAGAAAACAGGATCAATGGGAGTCGATCGGGGGAGTCCTGGCTCTCCAGAGTTCAAAATAAACAGAGAATGAAGCTGTTCTTACAGACTAATCGTTCATCAATGATTCAATTACGCGTGCTATCTGATAAGCTGGGAAGTACTTCTATTTCCTTTCCACGACTAAATCAGGCAAAAGTTATCAATGATGTGAAACCTGACCACCGCGGAAAGGATAGGGACAATACCAAGAGAATCCGACCCTGCACCGGACGAGACTTCACATATGGCTACAAGTGACGTTACATTCAGGAAACGCAACAGGAAAATCCGTTTCAAGGTCGCGTAGAATTAGGGCAAAAGCCCGAATTATCATGGGGAATCATCGCAGTATCATATATCAACATCGCCATTAACCGCTGGAGAAGGGGTTCCTGAGCTGGCAGGCTGTTTCTGAGAGTTAAGGCTAAAATCCCTCTTCTTCAATTTCACACTGTCTCGCGCCCGAATTGAGGCCCTAGCAGCAGCCCCTTCCTCGATATCCTCGTCCGATTCGTCGTCGTCCTCTTCTTCCGAACGATAGCGTGCAGCATACGGCAGAGGAACCTCGCGAGTCGCGCGATACTGATCAGTGTTACCGATCTGTTCGTTTTCAAGACGGACTGAGAAGACATAGCGCATGAGAAGTTAGGAACCAGAACCAAGTGAACGTCGAAGAGAGGCGCTTACAGAAGTTCCACTGGAAACGACGAAGCATCTCCAGACCAGCAGCGATTGCCGCCCGGACACGGCGGTTAACTCCATGCTGGGGTATGTATATGACCCAAATGAAACGTATTATAAGATTCGTTATCTTGAGAGAAAAAGTCAGCGGCTAACTTCGCTGTATTCCCTTTGTATAACTATAACTTACGATAGCGAAGTAATAAATCTGCAATATGTTTATCAGAATAGAACAACAGCGATAGTTTCTCACTTACTATGGCATTATTAGTGTAAATTAACTCAGGTCGTAAAAGTGGGTGCGGTTTTTGTCGTGATAAGAATGACCAATCCATTAGGAGATCCTACATAGTTATTGACGTTAATAGGGACGTAGACTTAGGCAAATATGATTAAACATACCCATCCATAAGAATAAACAGAGTTTAAGGTAGCAAATATACACCAAACAACAAAAGAAGTATCGTATTTGCTCCCTGTAGCATGATGATTAAAGTTCGTCTGGTCAGCAGTGGACGTTAGTACAAGTCACATACCTCTCATTCTCCAAACGTAATACAAGGCATAATTCAAAATACTGGAACCATACTTGCCAGCCTAAATGCAAATAATCGTATTAGATGACGCAAATAGCAACGTCAAAGGCTCAGAAACTCACATTTATCAAATGCGTCGGTAATTTAGAATCATAATAACGCCTCACACTCTGCACCAAACGCGAAAAATACGGCAACGTCAGCAACGCAAAAGTCACCCAATGCGCACTCGAAGCACATCTCCCAAACACATCCTTCCATCCAACATCATACGCACACCCAATAGTGTAAATATGGGCCAAGCTGAAAGTAAGACTACAAAACTGGTCGCCGAGCCAGAAATCCGCGAACTCGACGGACGTTGTTCCGGCAGTGAGAAGGCGGATGACGTGCTTGATTAGCCATGCGCGACCACCACGAGCGAAAATGGGAAAGGGATTAAAGAGGAGGACGAGAGCAAAGACGAGCCATATTAGTGGCCATGTGGTGGGAGCGATGTGGGAGGTGCCGACTAGCGAGAAGGAAAGCCAGACACAAAGGGATAGAGTTGCGAATAAGAAAGCGGGGAACTAAGCCGAGTTAGTAGGTTGAAAGGGTTTAAAAATTAATAACTCCAAATACTACTAACCTCGAAGTAGACTCGAGTATCAACGGCAGTACGGACATCCAGTTCTATCGAAAGTGTTAATTTCAGGCGAATCGGACCCCCAAAAAAGGACCTGATCACTCACCAAACATAAACTGAAAATTAATTCTAGCTTGTGTCCAGACAAGCATATTAACTCCCAACAACAAAGCAAAAACAACGAAAATCATTAGTGTTGCATAAATTTCCAATAAGGGACCCCATTGAGGAATTTGTTCGCGAACGTGGGGCTGGAAGCCTAAATATTCACCAAAGCTATATATTTCTGTACGGGAAGAATAAATGTAATATAACCCACTATTGTAAATTCCAGAAATTAGACCAGGAAGACCCAAGCCTATGAACAAGCCTGAACAGAAGGTGCTGAAATAATGCGATTGCAATTGCCCTGGGGATTTTAATCGTTTACGGGCTTGTTTTCGGTCGCCATTTTCTAAACAAACGAACATATGAGTTCATGGACGGTCATAAAATATTGTGACTTACCAAACCTCGCTGCGTAAGTATTTTCTATTTCACGCATGGCGTCATTTAGAGTCTCACTAAACGCAAAGCGACGAGGTTGGATCTGATTTGAAGGATAATATTAGGCTACTTAGTGAGAAAACGTAGACAATT